CCACGTAACTTTTAAACCGTATCAGCGTGTGAGCTACCATGAAGCTAAGTTGCCATGGATGGTAGCTTTTAGAAACAGAAGCCCATACGAAGTCACTGAGAACTTTAGCAGGATTCATGAAGCCCCTGGGCTCATAACGACATTATTTTTGCTTTTCAGTTAGTATAGCAGTAATAGAATTTAAGGAAATGTGGAAAAAGAAGTAGACAGACTTTTATTTTTATTTTTTTTAAGATTTTATTTATTTGAGAGAGAGAGAATGAGAGATAGAGAGCACGAGAGGGAAGAGGGTCAGAGGGAGAAGCAGACTCCCTGCTGAGCAGGGAGCCCGATGTGGGACTCGATCCCGGGACTCCAGGATCATGACCTGAGCCGAAGGCAGTCGCTTAACCAACTGAGCCACCCAGGCACCCCAGTAGACAGACTTTTAAAGGTTTTACTTCAAGCACCCATTCCATTAACTTGAGGGAATAAAAGTTTGGATAACTGGTTATTTTTAATTAGTGTTATTCTTAAAACGTTATTTCTCTGAAATCGGTAACTTATGGTGTTCAGTTTTTTCTTATTAGAGGAGAACAATTCCTCAAAATAAAAGTAAGAAACTTTGTTTAGTGATGCAGTTGAATAAAGTAGTGAAGGCTAACTTAATCGACCTAGCAGAGTATGTGAACATTAGGTCTGATCATGATTTTAAGAACATTCGTTGTGCACTTGGTAAGTGAATTATTTCTTTCACCTTCTTTGACCTTTCTCTTCCATTTTACCTGCTTCCTTCAGGTGAAGAATCCAAGTTAAAGAATATCCTCATGTAGAAAGATGATTGGGGAAACATCCTATTTCAGAAATAAATAGTACATTGTCACAGGGTCTTTTTTTTTTTATATACAAATTTTGGTCTCTTAACCACATTAATGGTTCTTGGCATTGATAGTGTAATGTGACCAGATACCAGCCCTGGAAAACTTTGGAAAAGGGACTTGGTGAAGCGGGAGAAAATTAAAGCTGATGGTGAAAAGGCAGGTTTGAGTTTTTATGGTTTTAAGTTAGCCATACATTATCCACTGTCTTAACCATGGATAACTGAGAGGTAGCTGATTATTCTGGCCAGGTCATTGTGAAACTGACAAGTCAGACTGTAGGTATCCCCAGACCATAAGCATAGGAATAAAAATGCTATATGTTTGTATCCATGTTCAAGAAAGATTGACTTTAAGTGTGTCACTATTTGGGTGAAGAGGATGCTATCACCTTTGTAAAGTTGTGAATTATGAAAGACATTTCTGTTGGGTTACTGAATGTCCCTTGGGGTTTGTTTCATTTATAACATTGCCTCAGGCCTTTTGCTACATCCTGTTGGAATGACCTTCTCTTCAACCCCGTGCTGGCAGCTGTAATACGCTCTTTCTCCTGAATCCTTTAGGCTTGTCACATGACAAACATGAACTGTGACCCCTTTGTTCTTTACCCAGATGATTCTGTTTCTTTAATTTTTTTCTGTTTAACATTTTTTTCTTACTTCCTTTCCTCTTTTTCCCTCTTTGCTCCCTTTTTTATTTCCTACCTAGACAAGGGTTATTATGGGTTTGGGGGAGCATTGTAGTTTTTTTATTAAAGTATAATACTGATGCAGAAAAGCACACAAATCAAAGCTCACTGAATTTTCACAGTACAAGCACACTCATGTAGACAATACTCCAATCAACACAGAGAACATCACCAGAACCCCAGATAACCCTCTCCTATCTCCTCCTGGGCACTTCTCCTCTGCCCCAAGGGGAATCGTTGTCCTGACTTCTGTGGCTATGAACTTTATAGAAGTGAAATCAAACTGTATGTATTCCTTTACATCTGGATCCTTTCATTTAACATTTTTGTTATATTCATCCATGTTACTCAGTTTGTTACTGCTGTGTAGTATTCCACTTGTATAAATATTCCACAACTTACCTATTCTAAATGGGCATTTGGATTGTTTCTTGTTTAGGGCCATTATGAATAAAAGTGCTAAACATTCTCATACATGTCTTTTGGTGAACGTATGATATAGTTCTGGGTATTTACATAGAGGTGGAATTGCCAAGACATAGTGTATCCAGCTATCCATTTAATTTCAAAATTCGTATAAAACACTAAATGACTGATTTTAGGCAAACTCTTAGTACTTAGTTATAAACAACTATCGATTTAGCTTTAGCATATTGTATCTAATTTTTGGCTAAGAAAAGTGCCTCTATTTAAGTGTACTATAGTTTAGAAATAAAATAAATGTACTATAGTTTTAAACAGGTAATTCCTATATACAACAAAATTTCCACTCACTGCCCATGATGTGTTTTATTGACTCTCTTCCTAATGTTTGTTTTTTATCCAGTTTTCCAAAGCTGAGTTGTCTGGTCCATTCTGCAAAAATCTTTTTTATTAAAGATTTTTATTTATTTGTGAGAAAAAGAGAGAGAGACCACTCATAAGCAGGGGGACCAGCAGGCAGAGGGAGAAGCAGGCTTCCTGCTGAGCAAGTCCCCGATGTGGGGCTTGATCCCAGCACCCCAGGATCATGACCTGAACTGAAGGTAGATGCTTAACTGACTGAGCCACCCAGGCATCCCCATTCTGCAAAAATCTTACGAAAATATTGTGATGGTGATAATTTACAGCAGTTAAGATTATATCTACGTTATACTACCTCTTAAGTGGTAACGTTAACAGGGAAGAGGAATGTGCTAGTGCATGACTGACGTGCTATAGAGGCTGACACTTGTATTTGTACAAACTGCATTCATTACTAAGAACCTTGCAGAAGTGGTGAGAGACTGGCTCTATACCATAGATGGGCTCCCCGGATAAGTAGCCAGGCAATTGTGCAGCCGAGAGTAATGTTTTTGTCCTTTCTTAAAAATGTGGACTTTCCATAATTTGTTCCATGGACCCTTTTGAGCCAAGTTTACCATAATGAGTATAGAAATGTGATTGTGATATCATATTCCCCCAAAATTGCAAAACATCTTTCAAGGAAATTTTATTTGACCATCAGATAAAGTGCCCCTCAGTCGTTTTGTGAACATGCATGGAATTGACTTGACTTGTTTTGACCATAGTGTTATTGGAGACCTTAAAAAGAATTGCTTTTGGGGCGCCTGGGTGGCTCAGTCATTAAGCATCTGCCTTTGGCTGAGGTCATGATCCCAGGATCCTGGGATCAAGCCCCACATTGGTTTCTCTGCTCAGCGGGAAGCCTGCTTCTCCATCTCCACTCCCCCTGCTTGTGTTCCCTCTCTCGCTGTGTCTCTCTCTGTCAAATAAATAAATAAAATCTTAAAAAAAAAAAGGATTGGTTTCTCCATCAAAACAAAGCAAAACAAAACAGAAATGTAGAGGGAATAATTAAAATTTGATAGTTATAAAAGGATATTTATAGAACCAGAAGATTTGCTTCCTATGTTAGGTAAATTAATTTTCTTATATAAGTCTTTCGGAGGGTGAAAGGAGGGTTACCAACCCTATCAAGATGTTTTTGGAAACAAAGTATGGTTTTAAAAAAGAATGAGAAGGGGCGCCTGGGTGGCTCAGTTGGCTAAATGTCTGCCTTTGGCTTAGGTCATGATCCCAGGGTCCTGGGATTGAGCCCCACATGGGGCTCCCTGCTCAGTGGGGAATCTGCTTCTCCCTCTCTCTCTGCCTGCTGTTCCCCTTGCTTGTGCGTGCACTCACTCACTCACTCTCACTCTCTGCCAAATAAATAAAGTTTTTAAAAATTATCCTTTGAAAAAATTAATAAAAAATAAATAAAGATTATGCTTTGAAAATTCTGTATTTTTCATTTCTCTTTCCAATCTTTTTTGTTTTAATACAATTGTGTAGACACTGATCTTTAGAAAACTGTCTTAGTATAGGCATATTGGGTTTCATTCATTTTTGAATGGCATTTAGAACCCACATTGGTTGATAGTCCCTGTCTTCAAAAAGCTTATGATCTAGTGGGTATGTAGTAGTGGTGGTAGCATATACAAATTACTGTAATACTATGTAAGGTAATTGCTACAGTGAGAATTCCTTTGGTGGGGGCGGCAAGTAGACCCATTTAAAATGGGTCTTAAAAGATGAGCAGATTGGTCTGGAATGGCCTTTTGCTTATCTTTATCTATTGGCCAGAGTTAAGATGCTTTGTAAAGGAACAGTGGGAAGTGAGCCTGTAGGGAAGCCAGGTGATGAATTTGTACCTGATTTGGTAGATAATAGAGTACAGTGACTAAGAGCGCTCACTTCAGATCCAATTAGAAATTGAGTCACAGTTCAGTTTTGCTGTGTGACTTTGAACCGGTTGCATAATCTGTCTAAAGCACAGTTTTCTCATTTGATAAATGGAGACAGCATCCATGTAACTTGCTGCAATGTTAAATGAAAGAAAAGGGATCGTGTGTGGGAGGTGATTCACATAGCTGTCAATATAACAAGTGCTCACATAGCTACTGTGGATAGCAGTGAGCCATCGAAGATTTTTGAACCACAGAATGATGGGATATGAACCATGTAAGGTTTTTTCTTTTATTTTTATAATTGATATACAAAAGACTGTACACCTTTAAAGTATACAGTCTGATAGGTTTTTACACAGACCTATGAAGTCATCACCACAATTGAAATAATGTTCACAGCCATCACTCCCAAAAGTTTTGTCTAAGAACTTGAAAGAGGAAAGTCTGGCCTTCAGTGCACAGCAAAGAATGGAGTGAAGTCGAGCCTGGAAGTGGAGAAATCAGTTAAGAGGCTGTCGCCATGGTCCAGGTGAGAGAGAGAGAATGAATGAGGTCATGAACTAGCGTGGTGGCAGTTGGCCTCCCCCAGGAGATGGGGCCGCTGGGGGACAGGGTTGAGCCTGCTGCATCATTATATTCTCTCCAGCACCAGCTCAGTAGCTAGTGAGCTCTTCCATTCTGAAGACAGTTTTTCTCTTTATGAAAGATTGCTTACTTCAAACTGTTTTCTCTGTTTATTCTGTTTAGGGCTTAAAAGACAATCTTCTTGCTTCTGGGACATCTGGTCTGACAGCCACCAAACAGTTGCTTCGTCCAAGAATCACAAGAATCTGTCTCAGGGACTTGATATTCTGTATGGAACAGGAAAGAGAGATGAGGTATTCTCGAGCTCTATACCTTGCCCTTCTGAAGTGACCACTGCACTCTCCATCCAGATCCTTGCTGTTTACTGCCAAAGAAGACATAAAGAGCATTGTTGCACTCTCCTGAAATTTCAGTTTCTGGAAAATAATCACCAATAGGGAAGACCACTGTTTACAGTTATAAACTTTTATTAAATCTTATGGGGTTCTTAAGGACTAGAATTCAACTTTGTCTTCTGGAAATTGGTTAATGAAATACAGTTTATACAGACGTAGGCTTCTGCCTACCTGTGCATTTAATTACAAGTTAAGGCCCTGTTTGGTACCACTGCTTCATTTGCCAAACTATTAACAAGTGAGGTGATTTCCCTAATACAGCCAGCATTAAGATGCAGGGGAAAGAAAGGAAGAGTCACTATTTACCAAACAAACTGTTATTTCATCCTCTAAGGAACCTGTCTCAAGGTGTTGGGTTTTCTGGGCTGGGATCAGAAGTTGCCTAGCTAATTGTGACAATCACCTTCTGTAGTTGCAGATGGTGAGCCACAGAGTAGGGTCTGTGGTGACTTTGGTCAGCTGCATCCCGATGTTGTCAAAACTGAGGCAGATGGGGATAGTTTGTGCCTAAGGTTGCTGTTCTGTGGCTCATCACCGTATGCTGCTTCTGATACCGAGTAAGGGGACATCCTTGTCAGGGAAACTGTAAAATGGGAGCTGCTGATATACCTCACTGAAAACTGGAAAAGGTGGGAAGTACTGGAAGGAATGAAGGGGCATTGCATTCCACCTGAGAAAGGGGAGTGAAAATGGAATGAATCCCAGAGCAGGAAGTGTGCTGCACATGCACCTTCTATTCCGGGGGTGAGATTGGAACTCTAGAGCAGCTGGTACAGGTTTCGTTGACAGGACAAAATGACAGTCCAACCAAAAAGGAAAATGTATCAAACATTTTCAAATTTGCAGTATTTCAAAAGGAAGAAGTTATTTTTTTGTTTTGTTTTGGGTATTGTTTTAAATCTTAAGGATGGTTTTGTAAATTTTTTTTTGTTACTGCAAGTTTTAAGCATCTTGTTGCATTTAAAAAATCCTAATTGATGATTAGAAATTTTTAACAGTAGGACTCCATTTTGGATTCAGTACTCAAACGGTAATGTCAGCATCTCGTTGTCGGAGATCTTGTCTTTAAATGTATTATGAGAAGCATGTTATATATATATGTGAAATATATATATATATTCATCTGAGGAGGAAGCTGATGTTTTGTAAAGCAAACCCTCTTTTTTTTTTTTAATTCCACCTTTGTGGCATGTAGCTGTGAAAAGTAATAGCTGTATTTAGAATTGCATACAGAAAGAACCAGTAAATCCTCCAGGAAGGTTTTTTTTAAAAAAACAAAACAAAACAAAACAAGAAAGCTGCTTTTTAGGAAAAGAATTCAGGGGAAAAAACACACCTCCAGTATGTTACTCCTCATCCTCTTCTTCCCATCGGGACTGTTACAGCCATGTTCTATACGGTAGTAAATGTTGAATTGGCCACATCTTTTTGTTTCAGGCAAGTTATTATGTAAAATGCTATAAATTATGTATATGTTAAAAGAACACTTTCAGAAGAGATCTATACCTAAAGTTGTTTTTGTATATTTAAATGCTTAGCTTTATTTTTTTGTAAAGTGCAGCATATTCCCATATTTGTGTATAATCTTATTGATCAGATGTTTAAAATTATTTCAAATACTTCATTAAAATAATTATTTTATTATAAGAATAACTTTGCTCAGTCCCTGACTTTGAAAACCAGTATCTTTAGTAGTAAGCCCCCGCAGCTGGGCCTGGGCAGTGGATCTTTCTTGGCTCTGATTGTTACTTACTTTGGAGTGCATTTGGGTTCCAGAACCTAACTTCAAATCCAAGTTACTATATCACTTTCTTTGGAATCGTGAATTTGCATGCTATTTGACTCACAAAGAAAGCTAAGCATATTCATTACAAAAGCTTTTCTTGGCCCACTAGGGTTTTCTTGTTCAAGTATTCTTTTTCAAAATTTATTTTTAATATATATTTTTAAACTTTGTGTCATGAGATATATCTTACCCAGGAAAGAACAAATACAGTGCATCCAAAGTATTCTTCCGCTCAATTTGCAAAATGGTGGCCTTGGGGTAGATTTGATCTATAAATGCATTCTGTGTGACTCATACAGTGTTGCTCATGTTTTAATTTACAAAAATCTATATTTCCACTTCTTTTGAAAAATCAGAAGATTTGGAATCATTACGTATATCCTTGTGTATGGTAATCCACTGGAACCACCCAGTGCCTATTCACTTTAGATATGGCGTAAGTTTACCTTCCCTTGTCTGAACCTTTTAAGTACTGAAGTTGGTGACCCTCTGCCTTCAATATTTATCTTGGGTGATGATCAGTAAGAGTAAAGTACTGGAAATTCTCTTACCTTTTTTTTTTAAGCAACTTTAGTGAGGTATATTTTATATATAAAATTCACCCATATTTCATCCATTTACTTTTAATGTGACTGACCTTTTAAATTGTTTCCTCTTGAGTATCTTTAAGATCCAAGATCCTTCTCCTAAAAAAAGAGCAACATTTAACATTTTAACATTCTTTTAAAGCCTATATTTCTTAAAACCTGCATTTGAGGTAAATTTTGTTTCGTTAGAATTTTGGCAAAACTTTATTTAGAATTAAGGCCACTTTTACTAATTATGTCATAGTTGCAGCAAAGAACACAAGTAATGTTAGGGCATATTTAGAAAAATATGGAACCAAGATCTCAGGCTGATTAAGTTGGATTTTATCTCTATCCTTAGTTGTATAATGAACCAACTTGTGTTTTTAAAAGTCTGACCTCAACAAGACTCAGTGATTCTGCATGAAATAAAAGTATAATATGTCATATGTTTATATACAACCTGGTAGCTAGTTTTTATTTTATTGTTGTTAGCACTGTTATCTTTTCAGGTACTTTCATACTCCTCCCTAAACTGTGAAAGGACTTTTTTTTTTTTTCAAATGGGCATGATTTACATATGGTATCAGTATCTTTTTCTCTGACTTTTTAACCATTTCTGAGTATTTTCATATACATTTCAGTTGTATTGCATTGGTGCATTTGTTTTTTTACTGAAGTTGTTTCACAAGTTGAAAATTGGTCCTCAGTAGAATTTCTTTGCCATATTTTTCTTTTGGGAAACAATGAGAGAGTGCCGTGCAGCCTTCCGTTCGCCACCATATACTTGAACACTGACTGGTAGGTGAGAGGAACAGACCTGTAACAGTAAGAGGTTAGAGTTTATGTAGACCTAGCACATTGAATAATTGTGAGAAGAAAATACTCTCTAGGAACTCACTTTAATAAGACTTTTGACTTCGTGAGTAAACCATGAGAGCAGTTTTAATGGCAACTCTTCTCCTTTAAAGTAATAATGCCAGGTTGACACCTTTCTAAGTTTTATTGTAGATGGTATTGAGGCAACATTGGCTAAGACCATAAGGAAAATGAAAACACTGTTAATATTTTGGGTGCATTTCTTCCTATTAAAAAAATTTATGTATTCTAGAGAGAGAGAGAGAGAGAGAGAGGGCACACACAAGCGGGAGGAGGGGCAGAGGGAGAGAATCCCTAAGCTGACTCCCTGCTGAGCATGGAGCCCTAGACCTCACAGGGCTCGATCCCAGGACCTCAAGATCATGACCTGAGCTGAAACCAAGAACCAACTGCCCAACTGACTGAGCTACCCAAGTGCCCCCCTTCCTATTTTTTTCTACAGTGTGCTATTTTTTTTTTCTGTGTTAAATCTGTAGATGTTTTAGGTCATACTATTGATCAGCTTGGTGTCCTTTCCTACATACCACTGAAGATACTAGAAGAAAATGAGAAGAAAAACACAACTAGGAGAATAAAACATTGCTTTCGAAATCTGTCCTTCAAAGCCATATCAAGGCCATGTTTCTCATTTCCTCATAGAGCATTTGGATTTGTTTAAAATGATTTCAATTTGTTGTCCTTAGGGGTGAAGTGAAGTACCTTTTAATCTCATCATTGCTTGCAGCAGCCCTCTACATGATGAGGTAATGAGGAAGGAGAACTGCCATAGTTCTATGTAAGCTGTTTATTAGCACATTGAAAGCTAGTATAGAAATATTACCCATGAGGTTTAGGCTATCGGACTGATAAATTCTGTTTGTAATTTTAATGGCGGCTTTTGTCTGAAGATGAGGGGAAGCTTGGCTTCTTGATGAAATCTTCTATCTTAGGCCTTCACTTCCCTGAATAGAAGTATGAAGTCATTGTACTGAGTGGTCTCCAAAGATCCTTTAAACCTGCAGATGGCAATATGAATATCTCACTGGGTACTCCTCTGCAATGTTAATTCCTATAGAAGTAGACGGTGTCACCTCTAACACAGAGGAGGGCAAGACAGTTGAATAAATGGTACATTGTCATTTCCAGGGCTTCTGCCATTATTACAAAGTGGGTGGTGCTGGGCTAGATGCCAATCAAAGAACAATTCAAGCATCATTACTGATCTGTATTGAGCTGTAAAGGTTTCTTAGGGCTGACATAACAGATTTATACAAACATATTTTCTCATAGTTCTGGAGGCCAGAAGTCTGAAATCAAGGTGTTGGAAGGGCCAGGTTCCCTCCACAGGCTCTAGGAGAGAAATTTCCTGCCTTTGTTCCAACTACTGGTGGCTTTTGATGTTCCTTGGCTGTGGCAGCAGAATGCCCTGCTTCCATCCTCACATGGCTTCTGTGTCTTCTGTGCCCTTTTCTTCTTATAAAGACACCTAGTCATTGGATTTAGGGCCTACTCCGATTCAGTATGATCTCATCTTGGCCCTTAACCAACATCTGCAAAGACTCTGTTTCCAAATAGGGTCCATTGTAAGGTTCCAAGTGGACATGAATTTGGGGTGGGGTGGGGTGGAGTGGGGGAGAATGACACTATTCAGCCCACTACAGGAGGATCCTGTATGTGATTAAATATTCCTGATACTTTTATTTTCTGCCTTTGACTTCAATAATAGTGAAAAACTTAATGGTTGTTAAAATGGAAAGGGCTGATTTTGTTAACTCTTTACAGTAGAGACTTAGACTCTTGAGTTCTGTCAAGATGTCTTTCCTCCCTCCCTTTCCTTCCCCTTCAGGCAAGGCTTTTGGTGGCTTTGTTCTGAGAAATCTATCTTTGATGTGGTTAAGACTGTGCTGTCCTGGTGTTTAGTGTAGTCAAGTGAATCTGCCTCCTATATTATTGGGGAAGGAAGGGAAAGAGCAAAGTCCAGAATTCCTGGGGAGAGACGCATCCAAGGAGAGACTTGGAAATTGGAGAAACATCAAGAATAGCTTCATGGACTGATACCAGACAGGGCATTCGCCTCTGGAACTGGGAGTTGGTACCGAGTTCTAAATCTTGGGTCACTACAGGCAGCTCAGGTTTTTATCAGATTTCTTATGAGATAGAATATTAAAAAGATTCTAACTAATTTTAAGAGACTGTTTATCTTGCCCTACGATAGCCTTAAAAAGCCATTCTCTGCCTTTTTTCTTAGGGACTTACTAAATCACTAGGCAAACGGCAGTGGTTTGGGGAAAGGGCCTTTAGAAGTCTGCATATACTCTAGGGAGAACACCACAGGAAAGTCTGTTGAATGCAGTCCATAAAGGTTGGAAAACAGCAGCCTTTGCCTAAAATACTAACTTAGGAACAGTCATGGAGCAGATTCTCAAAACTTGTTTTCATGGCACAGTGTCTTCGGTTATCTCAAGGGAAGACTGAAATCTCAGGTTTCCAAGATTAAGTTTTAATCCATCTTTTTGAAAGATGCAGAGGCAGGCATGGGGATTAGGAGAGAAAGATACCAAATCAAGCAAGACGGTAAGATGTTGCATCCTCCAGTTAAGTCTGTTTCAAGGTTACTGAGTGACATCAATTGCTAAGGCACAGACTGGTTACCAGAATGAACTCGTCTGTTGAACAAGATGTTTATGTGGTCTCGTCTACCACATTTAAGGATAAATCTACTTAGAATCAGGCCATTTATTTGCAGCCCAAAGTTCTAGATACTTCTGAGGCTGTCTAAAGGTTATCTAATCCCTTCTAATAAAAGAACTCCCTTCAGCATCCCTGAAACACAGGTCCTCTACTTGAGTAGTGCATGTGGTGGTGACCTTAGTACTTTATACGAGCCATACTTGAATTGTCCTGTTATTTCTATATTCTGCCTGGATTTAATTTGAAATCATACTTGAATTGTCCTGTTATTTCTATATTCTGCCTTGGTTTAATTTGAAATCTCCCTTCCTGTAATTTAGCATTTGGGGCCTACTTTTGTTCTGTTAAGTTACATAATAACAGTAGCAATTTTTCGAGCACGATCAGGTACTGGGCCACGCTAAGCATTCCACCTGCGCTATCTAAACCCTGTCACACAGCCTCATGAGAGAGCGGCAGGGACCCATTTCTTCTTGCACACACAGCTAGACCATGAGTCTCCTTTAGGTAAATGTGGCCATGTGTCTGAGGTCTGACCAAAGACATGTAGGGAGAAGTGATGTGCGACGTTTACGATCTGGCTCAAGACAAGTATAAATCCTGAAGATGGCAGAGCCACCAGATGCAAGGAGCCTTGGGTCACTGAATTGTGGCTTGGAGCCAAACTGCCTGTTGACCAAGAACAGCATTTTGGCCTACGTACAAGCGGGAAATAAACATCTAACGTGTAAACAACTAACAATGTATCTGTTCTCACAGATATAGCTGAATTAACACTGCAGATAGCTGCTGCTAGCAGTATTTATGTTTTACAGGTAAGGACACTGGTGCGGCAAGAGCCTAAACGATTTAGCGGAAGTCACAGAGAAAGTAGTTGAGTCGGGATTTGAACCTGGGTCTGTCCAACCCCAGAACCTGCCCTCTTGATTCCTCCACTGAGCCGGGGGTGGGGGGTGGGGAGGGGGGGGTTGTTGTTTTATTTGGTAATGCTTCAGAGCTAATCTCTAACCCATGTGATAGCACTTTAACTATGTGAGGGTAACTCCCATTTCCTTTCCTACATTTCATGTCCCTTCTGCAACTGAGGGGACCCAGTTCATCAATTCGCACAATGGTCATCTAGATTTCTCAGTATTTTAATTGTTCCCTTGGCTGTATTTCTTCACACTAAATGTGGTTCCCACGCTAAATGCAACACAGCCCATAGGGCCTGGAGAGTTGGGAGGGTGGCGAGTGCATTTAGTATTTATGGCAGAAGTCCATAGTGCTGTTGGTGCAAAGTCAGACTGTGGAAGTATGAAGCTTGTGGCTAACAACTCACCCCAGGACTTTTTCGTGCTCATGCTTCCGAGAGGAGCCAGTGGGCCAGCAGCTTCTCCTTACCTATAGGAATTAGTTAGAAACACGGGGTGTCAAGACCCACTCCTGACCTACTGAATCAGAACCTGCATTTTAGCGAGATCCCCAGATGATTCCTGGGCTCCCTAAAGCTGTAGAAGCACTGCTCTGATTGATTGCCTTTATCAACCTGAAGAGAAAACCTCACATATGTTCTGCCGTGCTTCCTTTTTGTTTTGGCCTGTTGGTTCTAGCCAGTCACAGTCACTTAAGTTTTGATTCTGTGATGTATGGAGGACATTTG